GAAGCCAGTCCCCACCACTTGGAGTAATTGTAGAGGCAAAGATAACTTGTGTTAATTCCATGATATCTCAATAAATTCAGTATTCAAATATTTATACAACTTTTTCTTTTCTTGATGTATGTATTTTTTGGCAGAGTTTCCACAGACACACACATGGATAGTTCCTCCTTTTCTTCTTTTATCTCTTTCTTTGTCCTTTCATTACTAATTAAGGACTGGTTTTATTTTTCTTATATTTATATATATTTCTGTAGTAATTAAATCAACCTAATCAACATATCCATCAGCTTACATGTTAGTAAACAGAATCTGTAACTTTCAAGTATATATTGTATTACTGGTAATTGTAACTATTATGGTCTACCATGTATCTTAGTCCTTTGTTCCGTGGTGCTTTGTAGCCTTTGACTAATATCTCCCTATTTCATGCCTCGGTCAGGCTTATCACCCCTATTCTGTGCTCAATTTCTAACAATTGATCTTTTTTAGTTTCCACATATAAGTGAGATCACGTTATTTGTGTTTCTGTGTGGGGTTGTTTCATTTAACCTAATATCCTCCATGTTCATCCACATTATTACAAATGACAAGATTTCTTTCTTTAAACGATTTTGAGAGAAAAAATTGTATGTATTACAGTGTTCCTAAAGCAAATGACTTGCTTAAATGTTGTTGCGTATGTGCTATTACTTGGCTTGCACATTTTTTTCATCTTTTTTGTGTTCTACTTTGCAGATGTTAAAATTTTATATTTCTCTTAAATTTCAGAAATACCTATTTTTGCATTTCTTGAGATATAGTTAGCATACTTAGAAGACAAAGAAAGTCATTACTTAATTTGGCAGGTTCTGAGTTGTTAAAGACATGTGTTTTTGATTAGGTATTGAAATTTGTTGTTTATGTAGAGAAGATTCAAACCAAAGATGCTGTCGGGTTTTTTTTAAACAAGTAAACTCTTCTTGTTATGTGCTCTTAGGCATTTAAAAAAAATTAGCATACCTTGAGGTTTTGTGGAATAATATAGTATCCTCTTACAAAGTGATTTTTCTCAAGCCTCAATTGCTTCTGTTACATAATAATTTCCCTGTTATTGTAATGTAAAGAGTAGGTATATTAACATTATTAAAAGTTCATGGATTCCTTTTTTTATTATATGAAGTTTGCTAGCATTTTTTCTAAAAGGAGATAGGGGACTCTTTCTGCTTATTGCTGCATTTCTGCATTCTGCTAAAGTATCAAGTGCCTGAGAGACATTGCGGTGCCCTCTTATATTTAGAATATGATCATTAGAGTGAATTAACTGCTGATTCCTTTGCACCTGATTAGATCAGCATTGGTGATGATCAGTCCCTTCTATTCCTGGTACAGAACTACTCATATCACTACCATACCTATCAGGCCCTGCTTATACAGACAGAAAGACATGTCTATAATTCATTAATATGTGTATTACTAGAAAAATAAAATAGTTACTTATTAAAATGTATCGGAAAATATTTTCCACCAATATTGTTGTTATTAGTGTGTTTTATGTCTTTCATACTGGGTTCTCTCATTAAGTGTTACGAACTCAGAAACTTGATGGAATCAAATTGTTCCACTAGGTATATGGATTGTTGTATTTTTGATGATCAAGTTATCAGAGATTATCTGGAAAAACCCAGTTGGATTGTTTTTTTAGCCACCCTCAAAACAGACTTGAGAGTTTTAGGTGAGTCTCATTTTCTAGCAACAGAGAGATGTTTGAGAAACAAGCAGCCTGCCTGCCTACCTTGCTGCCTCCTTCCCTCCCTAGCTTACTGCTCCCTTCTCCTTTCTTCCCTCCCTCCCTCCTTCCCTTCCTTCCCTTGTCCCTTTCAGTAATAATTAAAGAATCCTATTTTTTTCTTGTTAATAAGTATTGTACAGTAAGTAGTCAGATGTCCAGTTGACCATAAGATCTGGTTGTAAGCAAAAAGCAACATTGTAGCTACTGCTATATTAGGTGTGTGAGTTTAAACTTACAGTCTTTTGTCAAATTTCGCATTGCTTCCTCTAGTTTTTTTTTTTTTTTTCTTTATTACGAGGTTTCACCTGCTTCAAAGACTGCACTATTCTAAGAAGAAAGTTGCTTTGTAACCAACATATCAAAGCAAGGCAATTTAGAATGAATGCATTTTACTAGCAGTTCATCTAGATCAGTAGTAAATGGGACTCTGCTATTCCAAATGTTGAGTGACCTCCAAAATGAAGATAAAATCAGAATAATAAGTGAGTTTTCCAAATTTAATTTCTTTATTGGTGTAACTTTCTTATCTTAAAGTGTTGGAATAGCAAGATGGTGTTTCCCTGTTAAATAGCAAAACAAAACCCTGTTTTATTTTCAGACAGTAAACAGGTGTATTAACTGTCAAACTTTAAAGGTGCTGAATAAATGGCCCTTAAAAGAATTGATGTAACGTTAGATCTCAGTAGCTCCTGGAACTAAGAATCATAAGTCCTATTATTAAAACTTTTTTTCTCAGATACAGTTGGATTTGTTTTGGCTACACAATGAAACCCATGACCTCTGTGTTGACAGCCTTTCTTATCCTGCAGTATTGATCACCAGGAAATTCTCATTGCTAGCGAACGGCTCTGGTTACCATGTATGGTTATGGTACACTTCTTGCTCCAAGAACAGGGAGTTTGGCTCTGTATAAATCTAGGACCTGTAAGTGGGTGGGGGGTAGGGAGGTCTCAGGTTAAAGGTAAGATCTGTGTGAAAACCATATTATCATGGTTTACAAGATGGAAGGGAGTCTTACTTGACCTAATAAAAGTGATGGTCATATTTCTGCATTCTTTTATTTCCTTTGTTTCATCCTTTATCGCTTCCTAAGTTAAATGTTGCTGGTTGTATTAATTTGCTAGCACTGCTGTAACTAAATGCCACAGGCTGAATAGTTTAAAGGGTAGAAGTTTATTTTATGTGAGCATTGGAGGCTGGAAATCCAAGATCAAGTTGTTGGTAGATTTGGATTCTCTGGAATCCTCTCTTTTTGGTTTGCAGATGCTCTGCCTTCTCTCTGTGTCTCTGGGTGCTGGGTGTGTGCTCTTCTTATAAGCAGATCCACCCACATCACTGTGTTACCCTTAATTTGCTGGATATGGGCCCATTTCTCAATACTGTACAGAATCAGAGTTTAAGCAGCTGAAAGGATTTTGTATCAATTTTGGATGGAGAGCTAAAATGAAGGCAGCCAAAATAAATTAAAATTTCAGCCAAAATGAATAAAAATTCACTTGTAAAATTATTGAATTTAATTTGAAGCTAATTAAATTACTATACTTTTACAATAAAATGTACTCTTTTTATGTTTTTTATGTCAATCTTGACTATCAGATTAAGATTCTCTCATTTTTGATGTTTAATTATCCCTGATAATAGTATCTTTACAAAAGTTTTAAAATAACTCTTTTCTACATTTTTAAATTGTTACTTTGTTTTGCTTAATCTTTAATTTTGCATTTCTTAGTGTAGTAGATTATCTTTTGTTGTGTATATTGAATAACATGTTTTTGATGTATGAGCAAGTAACCTTATTTTCTTGGCTGTGTCTGCCACAGTAGAGAACAGAGCTTCCAATAGACAGCTGACTTTATAGTTGATTATTTGTTGTTGTCATTAAGAAAAAGAAGTACTTAGATTTGAGAATATTTATCACCTTTCAAACCATTGTGTGCTACTCATGGATCACATGTTTCTGAAGTTTCATAATATTTAATTCTATTTGTTGAAGTAAGAGTGATTTATTTAAAAGCTCTAGCATCCTTTTAATCCAAGAACTGAAGTATTCAGTATCCATTTGACAATATCATTAACCTTCCTTAATGAATATTTACTTCTATGAACATAAATTATGGTAGCACTAAAATCAGTTGGAAATATTAGCCAAGATATGTGGGATCATTTAGTTATTAGGTTATTTTTCTTGACATCCTACTTTGTACTTTCACTATTTCATTCTTAATCTTTAAATACTGTTTTCATTTTTCTTGGTACATGCATCATCTATCAAATCAGAACTTTATTCCTTCTTCAGTAATTCCCAGCTCTGCAAGTTCCCAACTCCTCAAAGACTTAATACTGTGTACTTTCCCAGTTTATTTTGCTATTTATCCTCAAAAAGAGGAAAAATAATTTTAGCAAATTTGTATTATTGTACAATGAATAGCAATAAGTACATTACATAAATTTATAAATATTTCTATTCATATTTTACTCTAAAGAAAATTACTAATTGATTTGCTTTTACTCTAAAGCGAGTTATTGGGTTGTAACTTGATCTCCACTTCGAAAAATGTTCAGAATTAATTAATTTTTCACAGTTAGTATGGTGTACATGATGTTTTGAGAAACAAATACATCATAAACTGTTACTTGGATTTGAAATGTAAATATTAAAAAAACACCCTTAAATTTTCACTTAGGAGCTTATATGTATTTAAAAATATATATCATTTTTGAGCATTTCAATGAGTATTTTTACGATCATTAAAAAGTTCTTTAAAATAAACTTTCCCCTATTCCTGATAAATAGAAATATTTTCCTATATTTTAATATCCTTGATCCCTGCTTGTCTGTACTTATATTGATCTATATCTTGTGTACATCATCAAGTATAATAGGCATGTACAGTGTCTATTTAAAAAGCTGATAGATAATTGGAAAGATTAAGCATTTGCTGAGTAATTCTTAAAATTTTTATTGAACTGATACTTTTAGTCATCCTAAGAGCCAAATAAATTCCATGGTTCAGTTTATATTTTTCATTGCTGGTTTTTTTTTTTTTGGGGGGTGGTGCTAGGTATTGAACTTAGGACCTTACCCTTGCCAGGCAGGCACTTATGCCACTGAACTACATCCCCTGCCCCATTGCTGCTTTTTGACATTTTTCTGTTTCCTGGCTTCTATACATGGACAGTTCCTCAGTTCCCCAGTGATTTTGACTAACTCTAGATTTTGCTTTTCTTTCAGGATGTTTTAAATAATTTGGGATCTTGTGAACTGGATGAAGATGACTTAATGCTTGATTTAGAGTTTTTAGAGGAACAGAACCTTCACCCCTCTGGTAAGTATTGAGCTAATTCATACTATCACACAACCTGACTGTAGCCAGTCAGTGGTTTGTGATGAAATAGGCTGTTTAAACTATGTTTATTTAGTCTTTAAAGTCTGTTCCTGCTTTGGTCACTTTGCCATCACTGGATAAAAATACATAATGCTTGCTGCTTAAGGAAAGAGATTTCTTTTGGCTCAGGTTCCAGTGCAGAGTGCACTGGCTCCTAGCAGAAGCAGCGTGGCAGAGGGGCATGGTAGAGGGAAAGGTTTTATGTATCACTTCAGGAATGATGTTAAATACAATTTAAAAAAAAAATCATTGCTGAACTAAAGAAATTTAAGGATTGAGTTATTACAGGATTATATTTTGTTAGATGTTGTATTGATGTTTTGTTTTGTTAAGTAAAAATTTTTATAGAGGTGTATATGATTGAAATGATGTGGTATCTGAGATTCACTTTACCAAAAAGTTTGGAGGAGGGAAAGGGTGCAGTGAAGTTGACAAATTATTAGAAATTATCAAAATTGGGAAATGAAGACTTCTTGGAGTTCTAATAACCGTAGAATTAAAGTTTAATGAGTTATAGCATACTTTCTATTTTTATGTATTTTTGAAGAATTTCATAGTAATTGAAGTAATTTTAGAACAAAATAGACACAGTCTGTTTTGTTAGATGGCCAACCATGAAGAAGAGCAAAGGATAATTTAAAGTATAAATACTTATCTCCATCTGTGTTCAATAGGACAAAAATTATCCTATTTAATTTCTTAAAATAATAGTACTTCATATTTTATTCATTAAGGACAAAATGTAAATTATTATAAAATAATAATTTTATAATAATTTAAACTTCTAATTTAAACTTTAATTCTAATTTAAACTTTACTTCTAATTTAAACTTTACTATCCAACTTTGACCTTACATTTTAATCGATGTTTTCTGGAACTAAATAATTTAAATATTAGTTGAGACTTGGTTATGATAGATGATATAATTCTTTTGTCAAAATCAGTGCATTTAAATACATGAATATATTTTCTCAATATTGGTGAAATATTCAAAATACTACCACAAATTTAAAATAACAATATCAAAGACACAATCAATTTTTGTGTTCTTTTTAAATTTTATTAAATTTATTGACCCAAATCACTGATGTTCAAAGGGAAAGTCATGTTGCTACTTGTGTTTAATTTCATTTTACTATTTGTAAATAAGTTACTTAATTGAAAATATATTTTACTTATTTAGTGTTCTTTGATAAAAAGAATATACTATTCATTTGGAGGAGTAAGTGAAGAAAGTTGAAGCTGCTATTATTATTTTGCATGTTTTTTTCTAAAAAAAACAAGGGCAGTATCTTTTGGTATATGGCCAGATGCAAATGGGGAAGTAATGTCCAAAGATATCAATTAGGAGTTAATTAGATATTTAATTATCTTAGTTTGATGAATAAGCATTGTAAAAATTCTTCTTTGAGGAATTCCTCTTGTGTCTATTAATTAAAGTGGTAATTTTTGTTATTAATTTTTAATGAACAATGGTACAGCAGAGCTGAAATGAAACTCTAGTGGTTTTCACAATATAAGTGGTAATGCACAAAGATTTGCAACAACATTCACATGGGAAAATTATTTTTAAAATCTCTTTGTAAGTTTCTATCAGCTCTAATATTTCTGTGCTTGAAAGAATGTGTGAAGTACCCTGAATCTGTGCAGAGTTCAAAAACAAATGGTACAATTTTGGGAAGATAGGAGTTAAAAATGTGAGTCCTGGACTTAACAAATACCAGCCACTGATCAAGCCATGTAAATTTGATCAGGTTATTTAGTGTCTCTCAGCTTCCTTTCATCTGCAAATGGGGGCAATGATGTTATGAATTTTTAAGTTTGGTCTGAAAAATAATAAGTGAAGTAAAATAGTCAAATGCTCGGTGTATAATGTATGTTGAAAATTTATAGCTAATACTGTTTTTAAAAACATACATGGTAAAATATTGTAACTGAGGTACTATAATAATCTGACCCAGAAAATTTTTTTTAATCTCAGTTAAAAATTTCAACCATTTTTGAAGTGTACAATTTCTCAAAATTTAGAATAAAATGCTACAAGAATATACATTTAGTTTTGGTGATTTCCAAACAGGATTCTAACATTAAATATAAAATAACAGAACAACAAACAGCATTTATTTGGTTTACGTGAGAGTTCAAAGAGGTCTGTGACATCCTTTTCGTGTTTGAGAACTCTGAGGTCTTGAGGGATACTACAAGTGGTGGATATCCCAGCTAGGTACATGCAAAGTTTTTATGACTCTGAGAGTCTGTGTTTAATCACCATGATCTCTGCACTAATAAAATTGACTTCTAAACATTTTAAAACCTCAGGTACACTGAAACTTTTGTTTCAGCCTGGCTCTTCTATTCCTTTTCTGGTTGTGCACATCATTTAATATGGTCTGCCTTTCACTCCAACTAAGAAACTTCAATTAAGTTATATTCATTTATTCAAGCACCTGTATAGTGCCTAGGTTTAATTGAGGCATAGAACTCTTTGAATTTTTGTTTTATTTTTACATATAACTTACACTGGATGTGATGGTGCACCTTTTTAAACCCAGCACTCAAAAAGCAGAGGTAGGAGTATTGCTGGAAGTTTGAGGCCAGCCGAGGCTGCATACTGAGTTCAAGGCCAGTAATATCCTGTCTCAAAAAATCCAACCAAACAAACTAGCAAAATATATAATTTATAACCTGATTGGGTTATCTCAGTTAATACAGTGATTCCTGTAGGCATTATTACAGACCTGTCATGTTAGAGAAGGAATGGAGACCCAGAAAACATTATTACTATTTCAGGATTAAGGAGATAGTTAATGGCAGAGACAGGGTTTAACTTACAGCTTTGTGACTTTGATATACACGTACCATTTGTACTATAAAAATTACAAATCATGTTTAGTTGAGAAGGAGTGGTTGTAATAGATTTGCAAAATTTCTTTTTGTGATACACTCACTGTTGTAGTATCATTATAGTAAGGACATAATTGTGACCCAACTTATCATTGTTGTGGGTTTCATCTTCTAGTTCTGTTATTTTCATTTCTGCTGTGAAAGCATTAGAGTGCCTGTTATCTGCTTGGCTGCCATTAGATGGCAAGCTTGTTTTGATGATGGTGATAGTAAATCTCTCATATATTTGTATTCAAATACCTTTTTAGTTTAAAAGGTATTTCAAATATATTATCTCATCAAGTCATCACAATAACTCTCTGAAATAAGTGTTAATATATCCCATCTACAGTGTAGGAAGCAAATATTACTTGTTTAAAAAATGTATTCAGCCAATTTTTACCTAGATCCTAACACCCTGACGGGTTCTGTTCACTCTTTCACAACCTGGCTGCATTAAACTTTACGCAGAGTTTTAATATATTGGGTTTGTGTTTTTTAAGGTCAGTGAAAATCACAGTCACATCTTGGAAGAGAAGTTGCTTCAAGTAGGAATGTTAGCTGTGGTGGAAAGAACTGTTAGCCAAAAGGCCAGGGAACAGGCAGAGAACTTTGAAAGTTGACAGAGGCATAAAGCAGAGCAGTGTGGGGCCATTTAATACAGACACAAACATCTCTATCCATGTCAGCAGGGAATGAAACTTTACTGTGTTGCCGTGCATTCCTCTACTGCTTTTTAAAAATTACTGTGATGGCACTAAATCATCAAGAGAAAAAATCTTTTGTAAACTGGTAAGAAGGAAGTCAGTAAAATTCACTTTGGGAATATTTATCTCTAAAACTTTACTTGTTCTTTCATGTATTAAATGGGAAAATAGTGTAAGTTCTTAATAAACGTTATCAGAAAGTATCATTTCCTAAGAATTCTGCATCATAAACATTTGCAATTACCATAAAGCATTTTTTATATACTTTCTTTTTTCTTAAATCCTTTCTACTTATTTCTGAAAAAGATTAAGGATAAATGTGAAAAGAGTTTACTGCCATCTTTGAAAAAGCAGTCATTTAATTATGTTCTACTGGTAGAAAGACACAAATCATATTAAACAGAAGACTATACAATTGCATATAACATGTATATTTTCACAATAGATATTTCAAAATTATAATGATTCTTGTCAGTTTGCTATTTTTGCTTGATCAAGTCTCTGAATGAACTATTAGTTAATTTGTCAATTCAATACTTTGTTTTTAATTCCAATTCTAAAAATTTTAGGCTCATTGTGTAAAATAATATCTGTGTGGGTGCATGATTTTCATCATTGTTTGTGTTAAACCAAGTGAGAATATTACAAAATTATGTTCTGACAGGAAGAGATTTTAAGAAATAAAGGTCTCCCCTGCCTCTGCTTTTTATAAATATTGTTTTAAATGTGTTGTTCAAGATGACAGAGTCTGCAGTAGAGAGGTACCTTATATAAGAAATCCACTACTTTCATTTAAGCACAATGTCAATTTTTTAGTGACTAACAAAGTAAATAATTTGTATTTACAGATTTAAAAATACCTCTGGCTATTTCTCCTTTGAGACTTCCAGGGGATTGCATTAGGAGAAAGAAAGCTTTTAGGTAGAAAAGCTTTCAAAATATAATCAACTATTACTGAAGAAATGTTTATACATTCTGACCTAACTTAATATTAAATGACAGAGAATTTTAATGAAGTCATAGCAGTTAGTTGCAACCTGCTATTGAAGCAATTCCTACCATCATAAACCCTCAGCTGCACAAAAGGGCGTCAGTGTTCCAAGTTCATTAAAGGGTACAGTCTCAAGAAAAGATTGCTTTCATTCAGCGTGACTTTTTTGGGGCAATTAGAAAGAAAATATGTGTTTCGATATAAAGGTTCTTGACCTCTTACAATTACATGGTGACATCTCCATATAACTGCTTGAAAAATGCCACCGAAATCAGCTGTTGCTATCAAAATGAACAAGTAATTAAGAAAGTGAATGCTGGTGTTTCTTTAGAAGGAATAGAATATTTATGTTTGTAAA